GAGCGTCTTTGGCCTTAGTGCACTCGATAGAGGCATGCCCTTGACCGCACTTTACGCAAGTGTACTGCAGTCTGCAGTACCTCTTGGTATGCCCGAAAGCCTGGCAGCGGTAGCACTGCACCAGGTCATTGAACTTTCTGGGCTCCTCGGTTGTGAACACCTTTTTGTTGTTGCTTGAAGGCTCAAAGTTTACAAAGAACATAGCCACAGGGTTCTTTGTGGTTCTTGAGATGGCGTTCTTGATGTCTCGAACAATGTGTCCGAGCCCCTTTAGTTCTTCAGTGATGAAGTCAACTGGCGTTGTTGAATGTAGCCCCTTAATTACCACGCGAAAAGCTCGGTTTTCCTTGAGCTGGAAAGTCCTGGCTCGGTGACTTCTCCAAGGCCAGCTAGCATGTCTGCGATGCTGTGCACCCAGGTATTATGATTGGAGGGGGCTTGGGTACAGCGCCCTCCACTGGTATAGCTGGTTCCTTGGTAACAACGTCCTCTTCTATAGGCAGTGCAGCGAATCGTTTGGTGTTTGACAGCATCGCTGACCTCATTGACTTTGGCCAGCTTAGCTGTATTTTTCTTTTGGGGCACGGTGAACTGTCGTACAGTGAACAGGAACAGTGTACATTATCCACTTCCATAGCGTTTTTGCCCATGGGAACTGCGTGCAGTAGCACGTGTCTTTAAGATATTTGCCTTTTCTGTATGAGTGTGTGCGTAATTGTCAGGCGCGGAAGTTGGAAGCAAAAACCGCCACCTGCTGGTGGTTAGTCCATTGGACGGAATGTTGGTGCCGTTGATGTTACCTGGTCTGAGTGTAAACGTGACGTAGGTGGATTTGTCAGCGTTTATGGTGATGTTTCACCTTTTCAGCCATGACTGATGCGTGTCCAGCTCGTGTTGCAGCCCTTGCGCTGCCAAAACAGGAGTTGTGTCAGAGCACAGGGCACTGTGTCGTCCGCGTGTTGGGGTGATTTGGAGTTACTGCTCCTCACGTAGAACCTCCTCTCTTCGACGTATGCCTTAAGGAACTTGTTCATACTACAACTAACTACAACTAACTAACTACTACGGTAACTGTTGCTTCAGCTTGAATAGCAGGCCGAGGTGCCACACCCTGTCGAAAGCCTGCCTCACATCCAGAAAGACTGCTGCGCAATATTTCTTGTTTTCGAAGGCATCCAAGACCCTGAAGACGACCCGGTGGCACTGCCAACCGAACTGGTGGTCAGGGATGATCCTCTTTTCCTCCAGGATGGTCAGCAGCCTCTTGGAACATCTTCTCCAGGATTTTTGACAGGATGGCGAGTAGACTGATGGGCGTGTATGAGCCTAGCTCGGCTTTTTCCTTGCCCGGCTTGTGAATGAGGATAACCTCAGCGCACTTCCACTGAGAAGGAAAGTGTCGCAGTCTGAAGCATTGGTTCATCAGAGCCTTCAGGAACTCTATGCAGTTCGCTGGGAGTAGCTTGAGGGCGTCGAGCTGCGTCGATTTTGTCATGGCCAGGGTATTTGGTGAGCTTCAAGCACGAAATCTCATCCAGAATCTCCTGACTACCTATCTCTGCGATAGGCAGGTCCATCGGGCCAGCAGCGTCAACGAACTGCTTCGTCTCTTCAACGTCTTCGTCATCACATAGGGCGAATGGCTGGAAACTGGTCTCCAGATGGTCGGCAAACGCATCCGCTTTCTCTTGGCTTGACCGGCACCACACACCTGCAGCTGTTTTAACAGGTGGCACCCTTCGCACAGGCCTCTTGAGGTATTTGGTGGCGTTCCAGATGTTTTGCTCAGCATTGCCAGGCTCCAGTTCTACTAGATACTCCTCGAGCGCCTTGCTTCTCGAGTCATGAAGCATCTGTTTGAGCTGCTTACAGGCTCTGTTGTAGGCCCTCTTGTCAGACGGAGCTCTGCTAGACTGCCAGACTCTCCTCAGCCTCCTTTTCTCCGATACCATCGACGCCAGTTCAGTCGACCATAGGTGGTTGTCCCTGCGGGCCACTTGGAGTCTCCTACTGTTGGTACGAGGTGTGGGTGTGGTCAACCTTGCCGCCTGGTGGATTTTGCCAGTAAGACTAGCAACGGCATCGTCAATGTCTTCTCAAGTGCTGATAGCCGGATGTAGGTAAACGTTTTCTTCAAGCCAGCTTTAAAACACAGTTGTGTCGGTAATTCGTCTGATCAGTTTGTTGCCTCCGGGGGTCCTTAGGAAGGGGGTCCTAAGTAGTATCCTGATCACTATAAACGCTTGGCCGCCACAAGCCAGTTATCTCTATGGTAACTTTTCTGACACCTCTTGTTAAAACCTTTTTAAACCAAAAGGATCGATAGGCCGAGCTTTTGCTGTCCCTGTGTGTACTGAACACCGAGATCAAGTCAGCATTTGCCCTTTTGCTCTATGTGTGGTTTCTATCCGCACTGAGCTGGCCTTGGGACACGTACGTTATTATTTGAGAGATGTGTGAAACTCCCTACCTGGCAATGAAGTTGAATTGGTATAACTCCAAATACTCAGGTATGAAGTAATTGGTTATACCAAATTTTCAAATCAAAAATACATAAATGCATCGTTTTATTAAAGAATTGGATTGCGATTATATAACAAACTCGTGATACTTGGATCAAGAAGCTCGCATCAAAACCCAATACCATAAGATATAATAAATATATCCGTATAATGGCTAGGAAATGATACACTTTTCATTTAATCAAGTAAGTAAAGAAACAATAAGAGTAGTGGTATTTCATTGACGATACCAAACCGAGGTCTAATATCTCCCACTTATTCTACATCTCTTATGTCTCCTTACACTGCCAGATTAGAGTCAAGCTCAAAAGGGTCTTCTTTCCCCGCTAATTATTCCAAGCCCGTTCCCTTGGCAGTTGTTTCGCTAGATAGTAGATAGGGACAGTGTATTAATCGGATCCCTCCGAACTTGTTTTACGTGGCGTGTTCCACATTGAAGGGATTACAACCACGGCACCCTATACACCCACAAGTGAGCATATGATGCACTTGTCCAGATACGCTAGACAAAACGTCCCGGTCTGGAAGCTATAGCTATGCTATAGCTTGCCGGGCAAGCACTCCTCCTTGCTGAGGAGCGAGATCTACCTAAAATCTCTACTGTTCTATGGGTCACAGCACCCGAGTGTTGCGCAACCCGCGCCGTTACTCAAACATCGAGCACGAAGGCTCTACCCGCCATACGGGTACCAACCATAGCCACCACGATACTCCCACAAGGGGGTCAACTTCAATGAGCAGTCTTGGAAATGCTCAACCCGTGGTACCGAAAATTAGAGGCTCGGTCGGCCTCACTCTTTGGCTCCGACAAGCACGGGCGGAGTGACCTATTGCCGATTTAGTCGCCTCCTACGACAAGCTGCGGCAATCCGTGGCAGTATCCTCGCCCACTAACCACACGGCGAAACGTCAGGCTAAGTTCCCCTTCTCCTGCGGAACGCCAACTCAGCGAACACAGCCAGCCGTTGGGTTCTCTCCCGATCCTCCAGGATTCTTTCAAATGTCCAGTCCTCGCCAGCGCGCTGCACGCCGAGTCCATCGAGGTCTCGCAAATCTGCATATAGGGGGCAGGCGCACAACACGTGCACCCAATCCTCGTATGGATCACCACATGCGCAAGCTGAGGGCTCTCCCATGCAGAAATGCGTTGAACGACCCGTGCCCAGTGAGCAAGAAAGACGCCATAATCGAGAAACCAAAATTTGGATCCCGATAGACAAGGGTGACGTCCGGGATGAACCTGTGCGTCATCCGTCCTGGTTCGCTGTCGTCATCCCATCTGCTTTGCCAACTCAATAGCAAGCATTCCTCTAGGCGAATCTCTTTTTGCTCCCGGCTTAGATGCGCAATGTCCTCGCCATAGAGCCAGTCTATGGCAGGAGGACAGTCGCCTCCTTGCAGCTACCTGTGTGGCGGTGTCCGCCTGGCTCGAGGACTGATACCCCAGTCGACTCGTAGCACACGCGCCAATGCTCCAACAACTCGGGTCATCCGCTGGCGAAGCGAAGCTATGTGCGTGAGGAATTTCATTCCTTCACTGACCGTGATGCAAAGGTACCGACAGCTACGCACATACGGCAGGTTCGCTCCAGCGAATCTTACCGTAGGCGCACGTCTCAAGGAACCTTTGTGCAGCATTATTACCGTCTTGCTAGTCGAAACGGCAACGCCTATTTCCGCTACCCACGTTTCAACGATGCACATCAGTTGCGCTCCTTTTTCCTCTAGCACGGCTCGGGAATTTCCCTCAATGAGAAGAAGCGGGTCATCCGCGTATGCACTTAGCAGGCAATACGGCTCGAAGCGCTGAAGCAGTACCTCCATCAGCATGTCCCAAATAAATGGGACAATAAATGGGCCGCTGATTGACCCCTGCGGGCAACCTCTAGTTACCGGCACATTCACTGCACCGGAACTGCTTCGGATTACTGCTTATTTCCCGTCACTGACAGTAAGTAGATAGGGACAGCAGGAATCTCGTTAATCCGCATGAATGCGGATTATGGTACGTTGGCGGTTATGTAGATTCCCTAGGCAATCTTATATTTGTTAACCCTAGCTAACATCAGAGGATTCCTTTAGGGAATCCGGAAAGGTAGGTCAAGTGTGTGGTGTCTTCAGAGCCTTCTGCGCTGTAGGCTGTTGTCAAGGAGGTTGATTGCAAGTTGGTTCTGGTGGTTCTCCAGCTTCTCCAGGTGCCTCCTGCTAGCTTTCCTGGATTCCTCGGCGACACTTTGCATTTTGAGGTCCCTTTTGATTGTTGTGTTCCTCACGTAGTAAGGACAGTTGAGGATAAATCTTAGAATGCGGCAATCTGCTCTCTGCTTTATGATGGCTTAGTAGAGCAGTAGATTGTGTCTAGTGGGTAGCGTGCGTCGTCTGCCCAGGATCCAGCACATAAACCATGTTATTGTTTCCCAATCAAGCCCGACTATTTCAATCTTCAGAGCCAATCCTTATCCCGAAGTTACGGATCTAATTTGCCGACTTCCCTTACCTACATTATTCTATCGACTAGAGACTCTTCACCTTGGAGACCAGCTGCGGATATTGGTACGGCCTGTTGAGAAGTTTGCGTGTCCCCACCATACATTTTCAAGGTCCGAGGAGAAAATATCGACAACAGTCATGCTCTTCTAATCTACCATATCTCTCTGCTAAAGACTTCCACGGTAGTACGGATATAAAACAGAAAAGAAAACTCTTCCGATATCTCTCGACGGCTTCTTTATGATCGTTCCTGTTGCCAGGATGAGCACGAGGCCCAAATTTAATAACAAACGGATACTCAACAGGTTACGGAATTGGAATCCCTTTCGTTCAAAATTATTCAAGTGTATTATTTTCGCTTTGTTTATATAATTTGGCATTTTTGTTTTACTTGAAAATTTTCGGCTTTCGCCTTGAGCTTAAGACCGACTAACTTGTGATCAACCACTGTTCACACGAAACCCTTCTCCACTTCAGTCCTCCAAGGTCTCATTCGATTATTTGCTACTACCACCGAGATCTGTACCAATGGCAGCTCCATGCAGGCTTACGCCAAACACTTCTACGCATACCATTGTACCTTCCTACTCACTAAAGTTTCAAAATTTATATCACAAGTAATATAAATCATCTACGGTAATGTATAGGTATACAACTTAAGCGCCATCCATTTTAAGGGCTAGTTGCTTCGGCAGGTGAGTTGTTACACACTCCTTAGCGGATTTCGACTGCCATGATCACCGTCCTGCTGTTTTAAGCAACCAACGCCTTTCATGGTATCTGAATGAGTTGTTAATTTGGGCACCGTAACATTACGTTTGGTTCATCCCACAGCGCCAGTTCTGCTTACCAAAAGTAGCCCACTGGGCACATTATATCATAACCTTGAACTTCATATCAAGAAAGTTAAGGTTCTTACCCATTTAAAGTTTGAGAATAGGTTAAGATCGTTTCGACCCTAAGGCCTCTAATCATTCGCTTTACCAGATAAGATTATTTTATATAATATTAAAATGCACCAGCTATCCTGAAGGAAACTCCGGAAGGAACCAGCTACTAGATGGTTCGATTGGTCTTTCGCCCCTATACTCAATTCTGACAATCGATTTGCACGTCAGAACTGTTTCGGTCTTCCATCAGGGTTTCCCCTGACTTCAACCTGATCAAGTATAGTTCACCATCTTTCGGGTTACAGCATATATGCTCAAGGTACGTTCCAGTTAGAGGCATAAATAATATAAATATACATTATACATAACTATATAGAAGGCCCCGGGATTGTGTTAATTAGCTATAAATAGTTAAAAAACTAATCCCATTATTAGTCAAGTTAATAACGCTATTAGGTTTATATCCCAATATAACTTGCACATATGTTAGACTTCTTAGTCCGTGTTTCAAGACGGGTCCCGAAGGTATCCTGAATCTTTCGCATTGTTAATCATACAAGTGCATATAATAAACACAAAAATCAATGATAATTATTTGGTATATGCTAATAGATTACAATGCCCTTATATGGAAAAAATGCACACTATCCTCATAATATTATTTAAATATTACAATTTTAATGATGAATTTTCCATAACGGATATTCAGGTTCATCGGGCTTAACCTCTAAGCAGTTTCACGTACTGTTTAACTCTCTATTCAGAGTTCTTTTCAACTTTCCCTCACGGTACTTGTTTACTATCGGTCTCATGGTTATATTTAGTTTAAGATGGATTTTACCACCCACTTAGTGCTGCACTATCAAGCAACACGACTCTTTGGAAACATCATCTAGTAATCATTAACGTTATACGGGCCTGGCACCCTCTATGGGTAAATTGGTAACTTGGGTAACTTAAATCGTTAATTTCTCATACTAGAATATTGACGCTCCATACACTGCATCTCACATTTGCCATATAGACAAAGTGACTAAGTGCTGAACTGTTTTATTTTCGCTCGCTACTAAGAAAATCCTTGTTAGTTTCTTTTCCTCCCCTAATTAATATGCCTAAATTCAAAGGGTAGTCCCATATGAGTTGAGGTTGTATATAACTTTTTCTTGCCATTACTTCTTTATATATTATATAATGATAAAAACATTTTATTAAATTTGTTATAAAATTTCCATTATTTCTTGTTATTATTTCTAGCAAAGTGTTTTCCATAAAAAAAACCAACGAAGAATAATAACATAATCAAGTTTTTTCTATTTCCGAATCATTAATAAGAGACAATTCTAGATTTTAAAGTTTTAATTCGATTTCCATTTTCGAATTTGATATCTTCGATCTCCAATATTCGAAGTTTTATTTTTACATTTTAAAGCCACATATATATAATATTTTTTTTTTTGTGCCCACCATTACACAGCATTTTGTAATGTTAAAATCTTATGAGGTTGCCAAAGCCTCATATAAATAAAAACCGATCTTCATTTTATTTTGATTTTAACATTTATTTTAATATATATTTATATATATATATTTTTATTTTGATTCAATCGAATCGTTATGTTCTATAATCATATCATATCATGCGCTTTGCTTTTGTAATTTGGTAAATTTGGTAATCTGGTAAATTTAATAATATGGTAAAATAAATTTGGTAAATTTTTTAATTTGGTAAGTAATTTTGGTAAATTCAAAATGTATTTGTATTATAACAAATTTTTATTAACGGTAAGTACAATAATGATCCTTCCGCAGGTTCACCTACGGAAACCTTGTTACGACTTTTACTTCCTCTAAATAATCAAGTTTTGTCAATTTTTGCGAAACAACCGTAACACGCAAGGCGTCACAGTGATCACGTCCGGAGACCTCACTAAATAATTCAATCGGTAGTAGCGACGGGCGGTGTGTACAAAGGCAGGGACGTAATCAATGCGAGTTAATGACTCACACTTACTGGGAATTCCAAGTTCATGTGAACAGTTTCAGTTCACAATCCCAAGCATGAAAGTGGTTGAGCGGTTTACCCGGACCTCTCGGTCTAGGAAATACACGTTGATACTTTCATTGTAGCGCGCGTGCAGCCCAGGACATCTAAGGGTTCAGACCTGTTATTGCTCAATCTTATTATTGCTAGACGCAATTTGTCCATTTAAGAAGCTAGTGTCCTCATAATGGGACAAACCAACAGGTACGGCTCCACTTACATAAACATATTCAAACACAATAAACATTTTACTGCCACCATGTATGAAGGCTATATAAGCTTCAGCACCATAATCCTCAAGTTGCCAAATTTAGTCGCCTACGAATAAAGTGTTTATTCTCTGAGTGATTTTCGCTGTGAAAAAGTTAAGCTGGAATCTTTAAAAACGTACAGAAAGTTGTGCTAAGTCCTGAAGTGCGTGTGGTACACGAACGCAAGTTCATGCAACGTGTCCTTTGGCTGCAGATGGTATTTAACTTATTTGTAAAAGTGCACGTAGCTAGCAAATCAGCTGACTGGTGTCACCAGTCGTCGCCTACTCAGCTGGTGGAACAGCTGTTCCAGTGGTGTGTGTACTGGCTAAACTGAATCCGATAACCACAACCAGTTTCGACATAGGTGGCGCCTTTACCCCTATAGTTAAAAATTTCTCCGCCAGAGGGCGTCAATCAGTCCCATAAAGTGACGGTCTTTGCTCCCCCCTTCTGCGCCTGACAATTACGCACACACTCATTCACTCATTCATTTCCATGGGCAAAAACGCTATGGAACTGGACAATGTGGCTTTGCCCACTTCTAAGAAAAATGGTTGGCAAACGCTGGTGCCTAAGAAGAATGCAGGCAAGCGCAAGGAGCCACCTAACCTAGCCACGACTGTAAACCGCAAAGTTCCCAAGGTACTAAAACACACATAAAGAAGAAGACGTCGGTCACTGGTAGCTCCAGCTCCAGTGAAAGTGAAAGTGATTCTGACAATGAATCCGAGGAACCAGGTGAGGTACGACAGTAAACCGTGCCCCAAAAGAAAAAGACAGCTAAGCTGGCCAAAGTCAATGAGGTCAGCGATGCTGAGAAGCTGCTGTCAAACACCAACCGATTCGCTGCACTGCCTATCGAAGAGGACGCTGTTACCAAGGAACCAGCTATACCAGTGGAGGCCGCTGACTACATCACTGAAGAACTAAAGGGGCTCGAACACATTGTTCGAGACATCAAGAACGCCATCTCAAGAACCAAAAAGAACCCTATGGCTCTGTTCTTTGTAAACTTGGAGCCTTCAAGCAATAACAAAAAGGTGTTCGAGATCAACAGGCTCTGCCAGGCTTTCGGGCATACCAAGAGGTACTGCAGACTGCAGTACACTTGCGTAAAGTGCGGTCAAGGGCATGCCTCTATCGAGTGCACTAAGGCCAAAGACGCTCCTGCTACATGCGGTAACTGCGGGGAGGCGCACACTGCGTGACACCAAGGCTGTCGTGTATATATCGAGGACAAGTAGAGGGCTTCCCCCAAGCCAAAAGCGAAGGCAATGACTCCACCGCCGAAAGAGGCCCATACACCACCAGCGACAACCAACAACGCCACATTCTCTGGCTTTAGCTACGCTGACGTCACCAGGGTAGGATACCCCCAGAAACAGCAACCCAAACACATCTTCAACCAACAAGGTCTCATTGACAGGGAGGCAGCGTTGGAGGAGAGAATGATGAGGCGCATGGAGAACATGATGGCCTCAATGTCCTCCCAGTTTAAAGACATGGTGATGGCCATGTTCTCCTGCCAGAGAACCATGCCATGAACACACAATTAGTAATCTGGAATGCTAACGGCTTGGCGAAAAACAAGCCAGAAGTGGAGCTCTACCTAAAAACCAACCAGGTGGATGTGATGCTGGTCAGCGAGACCCACTTTACAATGAGGTCTCACTTCAAAATCCCTGGCTACGAAGTGGTCAACGCCTTGCACCCGGCGGACACGATCAGAGGTGGAGCCACAGTAATCGTGCAAAGTGGATTACTGTACGAGGAGATGGAGCCGGTGCAGCTGGACTGGATGCAATGCGCCAGGATTCAACTGCTGACACATTCGGGCAAAATTTGTATCGCGGC